TTTCTTGAGAAAACGTTTGACACTGCCCGGGAATTCAACCCGGGCCCCTTCCTCTATCCTTTGATGCCGTCACGCTTAACCATTGCGCCACCGCGTCAAACGCTTACGCTTACACTCGAAGCATTGTATCAATCAAGTCGACTTTTTTCATTGTAACGCAAGAACTAATATCCTTCAGAAAACTTGGCCTGTGGCATTCGACTTGCTTGTAGATTAGTGGCTCCTTGATTGTCTAATAAAATGACCTCCAAAATATAAATCCGGACTCAACTCGAGCCAATAAAATGGGCATTACGTCTCCGATTGGTGGGAAAGGCGTGCGTACTTCGAAGTAAGGCAGCCAACCACCATCAAGTATTTGCATTCCACCCGAAGCAAAAGTAGGCATTAAGTTCCGTAGATCCCTGTACGTCAAGCCCTTCTTAACGCCGGAGAACGTCGAGGCTCGTCTGGAGTACGCAATGTCCTTCGTTCGACCCTTGTTAGATGGACGCCACTGTTTCGCCAACATGTACGACTATGTGCATGTCGACGAGAAGTGGTTCTATCTGACAAAGGTCAAACGAAGGTACTATGTTTATGATGACGAGGAAGTGGCTGCACGTTCAGTCAAGTCGAAGAAATTCATCACTAAAGTGATGTTTCTTGCTGCTGTTGCTAGGCCCCGTTTCGACCATCATTCCAAGAAACAATGGGATGGCAAGCTTGGTGTCTGGCCTTTCGTTCACGTGTCGCCAGCTGCGCGTGCAAGCAAGAACCGACCAAAAGGCACCCTGCATACTGTTCCTCTCGCTGTCGACGCCAAGGTGTACAGCGATGCGATCATGGACAAGGTTGTGCCGTCGATCCAACTCAAGTTTCCTGGCGATTGGAGGCGCAGACAAGTGCTTATCCAACAGGATAATGCAAGCCCACATCGCCGTGTGACCTCGGAATTTCTCCAGCAACAAGGCATTCGTGGAATCGGAGTCGTCAACCAACCCCCGAATAGTCCAGATTTCAACGTCTTAGATTTAGGATTTTTTAATTCTATTCAAAGTCTCCAGTACCAAAAGTCTACTCGTTCAATCGAGGAACTTATTGGTGCTGTGGAAAGTGCGTTTTATGAGTTGTCGACAGATACCCTTGCAAAGACATTCATAACCCTTCAAAAGGTTATGGAAAAGTTCATTGAAATACATGGCAGCAATAACTACAAACTTCCTCGTATGAGTAACGATGCTAACATTGCTGACTTTGCTTTGTACAATGTCGAGTGCGATGCTTCTTCCTACGAGAGCGCATTGACTCATTTGCATGAGCATCTGGGCGAAGAAGCCACCATGGAAGCCTTGGTAGATTCTCTTGAATAAGTACTCCCGATCAACTTAAAAAATACAATAAAAATTTTGTTGAAAATATGTGGTTTTAGAGTTCAATACAAAATTCAAGTTGTTTCGAATGAATGTTGAATACTTTAATCAAATGAAAAACTACCTGACAAAAGTACCGGAACCGAGTAGTAGCATTCAACTGCACATATTTTAAAGGATTCTTAAGAGGTATTTTTAATGTTACTGATTAACATACGCAATATACTGTACAGAACTGATCGTATACTTTGCACTGTATATTCAACTGGAAATATCTTAAAGATTATTATGACGTATGTTGAATGATACTATATTAGTACGTAGTTTTCTTGATTCCAAGCACTTTAGTTAGATTTAGATAGAAGGGAATTAAAATGTTTGGAATTGAAGTAATAAAATTGTAAAGATGGCCACTCCAAACAGTGATCATTGATATGCCGAAATAATAGATTTTATTAAAGTATTGGAAATGCTTCGAGATACAAATATCTATTTATAAAAATAAGTATCATACGTTGAAAGTACGTCTGAATAAGGTTGAATTCTATAACAAAATTCCCCGAATAATATCAACTAACCAAGGGTTTTGATTGCTTCGGTAAATAGTTTTATCCAATCATATCAATTTTGTCATCCTATTGGGCAAGACGTTCGGCAAATCATTGATTGTTTATGCTATCACCGAATGGGCCACTGAATTTGGGGTAATCGCCAATATGTGAGTATATCAGCAAACCTTCGCCAAAATGTGAAACCTTCGCCAATACGTGAGCGCACTTAACAAATACTATCGCACTTAACAAATTTTACATTGTAAATCCAATCTTTGGACAAAACCACAAATTGTTGGAGCAAGATTGATTGGCACAGAAACTCTCAGTTATGCAGACAGTATTCACTTTCAATTGAACAGCACCACCATGAGTCTTGCTCTTGGAATGGAATTTCACTCAGGCAAAGCCTTCGTGGACTACGTTAAAGACTACGCTGTAAGCGAGAACAAGCATGTTCGAGTGAAGTCTCGTGGTGGGAACAATAGAACCGTGGTGTGCACAGTACCGCTCTGTCCATTTTTGGTCACGGCGTACAAGCGCATGTCCAGCACTTCTCCAACGCAGCCATTTGTCCTATCATTCGCCAACGTTGAGCACATGGACTGTACATCATCAGCCAAACCCTCTGCCCGCCAGATCGCGAACATATCCAGCGTCAATAGTGCAGTCCACGCGGATCGCCGCGTCTCTGCAGCGTTTGTACAGAGCCAAGAACAAGTCGTCCACTCAGTCAACCTCGACACGAGGCAACGAAACGTCTATCGAGCGAAAAAGTATGTGCGGGACGAACTTGAAACGGTAGACAACCAGTCGTAAAAGAGGCTGCCAGGTCTCCTTAGTTCGTTTGAGGCGTTGAACATTGGTAGTATTGTCAAGTGCGAGAGCTCACCAGATGGACGTTTTCATCGCTGTGCCATCGTTTTTGGCGCCGCAACATCGTCTTGGGTCGGCATGCAGAAGATCCTCGGCATTGACGGAGCGCATTGCAAGAACAAGCTGTACAATGGTGTCCAACTTGTTCTGCTCGGCCGAGACGGAAACATGAACAACGTTCGTGTAGCGTGTGCCCTTGTTCCAAGTGAGAGTGAGGCAAACTGCTCGTGGTTCTTTATGCGTGCCGAGAGGGTGGGGTACATCTGACCGTGCCGGTCATGTCGGATCACGGACCTGGGATTGTTGCTGCAGCACGGCATCTTGATATTCAGTTGAAGTACTGCACTCATCACATTCTACGAACATTCGCGATCGATTTCCCGCTGCCTTTCGTGAAGAAGACAGCTCCATCATTTGGACTATGCAAGGTGCGCTCGAGGAATGTCATTACGATTCCCAACTGGCGGTGCTCGGGGTCGCGTGTGGTGAAGCTGTCAGGACTTAGGTCGTTGCAATTGACCGGCGTGACTGGACCGTGCACGCCAACATCAACGACCACCGAATGTATGGATGCAGAACGCAATTTTGTCGAAAGCGAGCACAACACATCGCTACTCAATGACATCCGATATAAGATGCCTTTCCCTTTCATCCAAGCGTACCTGGAGTTCATGCGAGATGACTTCAAGAAGAAGAGCGACAGAGCCAAGTTATGGATTGATGACGGACGAAAAGTTACACCGGGTGCACTCAAGGTCTACAACGAGCAATTCGAGCGTCTGGGGGAGTATGCAGCAGATCCAGTCAGTGACGACATCATCCACGTGTACTCCACCACACGGCAACCCCACTACAAGCGACACGTCGTGCTCTCGGGGAAACAGTGTACGTGCGGCCCCTGTGCGACCAGGTCCTGCCGTGTCTCGTAGAATTGCAAGTCGTGGTGAGAAATCGACCTCCAGCCATTATCGAGTGCGGTGCTCCAGGTGCAAGCAATACGGGCACAATAGACGCAGTTGCGCAATGGACGGTAATAGCATTACGTGAATTTGAATCTGCATCGTCGTTTGTGCGAAGTTCGTGTCGCATCCACTATGAAAAATATTCACCGCTCAAAACTGCGTCGAGTCCGTCTGTGGGAATTTTGATTGAGCACTACACCGTCATTCATATGCGCAATATTTATTGAACACTTTGTTTTCGAGATGAATAATCATATAGTTGTCATCACTAGAGTGGCTTCAGGGAGAGTTCTGATGTTTGATTTGACCACACGGTATGCAATGTGTGTCGTAATCGACACCTTTGCATCCAACTCAGATTTTCACAATTTAAACCAATCACAGTCATGATCATTTACCGGAAAAGCGACCTTTGGCAGAAATGCAACTACTCCAATTAAATTATTATACTTCTTGCAAGAAAGAGCAAAATATAATTTACCCTTTTGAGCTTTCCAATTTTAGCCAATCATGTGAATGATGTTGTACTGAAAATTACACCATAGATTCCTCTAACACGCCTGCAGCCAGCCCGACTACATGTACCAAAGCCTGGGACGATGGCTCATTGAGTCGATATGACTGTAAGCACATGAGTGGTAAGACATTTTGTCATATCTCGGATGATACGAATGCTTGCAGGGTTTCCTTGATGTATTGTTCCCACCATGAGACTTCACTCGAACACGCTTGTTCTCGCTTACAGCGTAGTCTTTAACGTAGTCCACGAAGGCTTTGCCTGAGTGAAATTCCATTCCAAGAGCAAGACTCATGGTGGTGCTGTTCAATTGAAAGTGAATACTGTCTGCATAACTGAGAGATTCTGTGCCAATCAATCTTGCTCCAACAATTTGTGGTTTTGTCCAATGATTGGATTTACAATGTAATATTTGTTAAGTGCGATAGTATTTGTTAAGTGCGCTCACGTATTGGCGAAGGTTTCACATTTTGGCGAAGGTTTGCTGATATACTCACATATTGGCGATTACCCACTGAATTTGTATTTACCTTTGTATACTAGTATGGATAATTCTCCTATAAATCAGATATAGCTTGATATAATTATGAGGAAACACAGTGAAAATCAATCAGCATAACTGGTAGTACTTTTTTGCTGTTACCTACTAAGCAGTACTACTAACTGTTGATAGTAGTACTACTACTGTATCAGTATCTTGTACTATAGTATATACAGTGTGAAATATCGTCCTTTACAGTACCAGGTACTGTTCTGTCCTGTACTACGAAGTACTGTACAGTAGTACAACGTAGTATTAGTATAGCAATCATTAACTGTAAGCTTACTCCATGCAGTATCATATTTTGTCCTTCTAGTACTCCTTCTAGTACTAGACAAAGTACAGGCATCATGCTCTCATCGGATGTACAGTACCAGTCCTTCCTTTGAATGCAAGGTTAACTGAAAATTATTCCATTCTGTACATCCGCGTGGACTACGTACACTAGTACAATATACTGTACGTACAAAACTTTGTACTGTAGTGAACTCAGGAAGAGTACAGTGCATTATATCAGTCAAATTAGACTATTGTTGATTACATTCCCCACACTTGCATTTGAACTGTGATTACTAAACTCAAGTCAAAATAGTGCCTTGAATATCTTAAGATAGGTTAATATGACGCATTTTGATGGTTACGTTGAACTTGATTAAAATATGTATTGATTATTTTGACGCATTTGGACGGTTACCTAGACTTGATTAAATATTGTGCATTGTATACCGCTTACGCTTTGGGCGCAGTCTCCCTGTGAATCGTCCAATTACTCCGTGATTCGTAGTGCGCACTACTTTTGTAGTACCGTATAGTGTAATACGAGTCGGACATTCATTACGAGTCGGACATTCATTACGAGTCGGACACCCGTGAAATTAGATAAATAATACCACTCACAACGAATTTGTTTTCAGCGTTGTCACTTCGCGCGGGCAATAAACTCCAATCCCTTATATATATCCCCAAATGTAATACAATATCCATTTATAGAGGGGAAATTTGTTCGGAGGTTTTTACGCGCGAAAATGCAATGGTGCCAACGAAAGACGCCATGGCCATTCACAAACGTGCCATGGAGCTCACAGACGATCAGCCACAACGCTTGCCCAAGATCGGAAGGCCGGTGTCGAAGTACGGCCCCAAGAAGAAGCCAAGGCAGTACAAGAACACAGTAGTTACGAACAGCGAGCGGCTAAGCGTTATTCAATACTACGACACGTGTGCCATGCAATCAACTCTCTCTGCGTTCTACGGCAACCTCACCATGACGGCACGCGAGACAATGCGCAAGAAGATCTACTCGTGGTTGGCCAATCGTGACCACATTGAAACCATGGCGTCGAGTGCACGTACCGCGTCGAAAAGGTGCTGGCGACCGCTCGGCGCGGGGACGACGCTGACGGCAGCGGCAGAGGAACAGCTCGCCCAGTGGGTGCTCGACATGCGCAAGGACGGCGTGCAAGTGACGCAGGCGATGCTGCGTATCATGGCACTGGATGCAGCGATCGACCTAGGCATAGAGGACCATGAGTTCCTTGCTGGATGGCACTGGATCCACGGGTTCAAACGACGCCACGGCTTGTCTCTCCGATCACGTACCCGTATTGGCCAGGATTCACCAGACGATGGCGTGGCGGCACTGGAGGCGTTTTCGGCGCGGGTCAGGGCCCTGGT